GGTTAGTCCAGCCTAAAATGGATACAATAATATCTATGATATAGTTGATTAAGTTGATATATTATAAAAAATAAAACTGAAAAATTAATCTTGAAGTATATGTTTAAGTACTATTCACTATATTATTGTAAAATGTTAATTGAAAATATGATATTTATTTTATTAATATCATACTAATGATACAAAAATATGTTACCTAATTTATAAAAAATCATTAAAAGTTAACATAATTTAAAGGAGAGTTACCAGTGTATGAATTTTAAGACTTTGTTGTTGTTATATTTTTGGGGTCAATCGGATAACTAGGCATCGAGCTGATAGTTTTGACTTCTTATACGACATGTCGGACGTGTATTGTAAATCAAAAAAACGAACAATTATATAATTATTGTAATTTATAGTGAACAAGGTGGTTAAAAATTATCAGACCAGCCATCAGGAGCTTGAAAAGTGGTAACTTTGAGCTAAGGTCCGGGTCAAGTCAAATCTGCCTTAATTAATTAGTGTCAGTAAAGCACCGGTAAACCAAGGGACAAGACTTATCAAAAAGAAGGGAAGTTTGCTTAGCCATATACTCATATAGTGTCCACTGTCTAATGTGAGGTCTCCGGGAGGTTTTGTAAATTGATTAGATACCTATCTTATAAAACGCACATAATGATATAAACAAGAATGTTAACATATTAACAAATTGGTATGTAAGTATGTTGTACCTATACACTTGTACATAATATGTATGTGTATTATATTAGAATTTGTGGAAAGTTAATATTTATACATTTAAGATATGAGACACAACTACATATAAGTTAGGTAGATAACAGCTTTATTAATCACAAGTTTTTTGTAAAATTGTAATACCTACCTACCTACATACCTACCAACTTATTTTTATTGGCGCTCAAACTATAGGTATTTTAATTAAAAGTTACTTTATATTCATTATTAATTATATACTAGGGACCAGTGTATTACATTAGTATAGTAGTGTGTTCGGTGGGGGCTAATTTATATGTTTGTACCCCCTCCCCCCACCCCAATATCATGAGTGGCAGTCAACCGGAAACACTTATGTTTTATTTACCTTTCTAACCGCTGTAGATTCGTTTCAACGAAGCGCTTACGACCGACGACTTGAGTGACTTTATAGTTTATACCTAAATATTATTGTAAAAGTTTGACCAGAAAAATACGACAGATAACAAAAAACGCATATCGCTACTGCAGAAAAACTAAAAATTGAAATTAAAAAAAAAAACACTTCAGTAGTATATACCAAAGTACCAGGTGGCCACTTCAAGTCGACCCGACGACGTGTTCTTTTGCTTTTCCGTCGGCTGGGCGAATAATACAATAATAATATTGTATACATATTAAAAAAAGCACTCGATCAAAACCCGCGTGAAAGAGAGTACAATTATAATTTGGAACGCACTCGAAATTGAGGCACTGCTCGTCCTTATAAGATGATTTACATAATTATATATACATATACCTATTATTCAATTCGAAATTTTAATATTCATTCCTTATTACAATATTGAATATACAAATCGTAATTCCTAGGTAATAAACTGCAGCTACAGTAGTATATTGGGAACCACACAAACACTTTGTAGTTTATGACCTACTCTTGGACGAGTAAGTACTAATGTATCCGACCTTGCCCTAAGGGCGCAATCCAAATGAGAAATGGTGAATTTTGGTTCTCCCGAATTCAAAAAACATCAAAATCATGAAACACATTGTTTTCGGAGGTACATCATACAGATATCCATTTAAAGTAATTAAATCATAAATCTAAGTGTGTTGTCTCAGAAAATCTTAATTCAATGTAACGCCCACAGTAATAAGTATTTAGATATTACATGTTATTATGTTAACTCATATGCATTGCATACTACCTAAATACCAACCACTTACATGCACCATTAATGAGATCATAGTGTTTATACGATACTCCATAGTATTGAATATTGATACTAAAATAATAAAAAAACTTATAAGTACTAAAATACTGTAGGTATTAAATATTTAAATCATAGTCACAAAACTAGAACTGAAGTCTACAAAAAATAATACAATAGGTACGTCAATAAGATTTCATTATTTAGTTTTTATTGACACATAGTGTACTAATGAATAAACTTTTTATTTTATAGATCAAAGTGAGTGAATTTAATAATAATGGAAAAAAAATTACAATGTGTCTTTTTAACTTTAACCTTTTAATGCTTTAGCAACTGAACATAATAGATTTAAAAGAGTGACATATTCACTACAACCTTCTTGTAGTCTATAGGCACAAATACTAATAGATTTACAAATGAGTGCCTTCTGATTGTCTTTTAAATCTGTAGAAAACACTATTTTATCATGCAATTGCTCTAAAATCTGAGATGCTGAATATGCCTCAAATATTAGATCTTCCACAAAACCATCCATTTTTTGATAGTCGTACATACGACCCATATCTATCATACGATCTAACCAGACTTCTGGCACAGTGCCAACAACTTCTAGAACATCGGCTTCTTCAATACCATCTTCTCCTTTTAATCTAGCTGTGCTTTGGAGTGATGTAATTGCTCTACGCATATCTCCACCAGAAGCATCAACCAATCGAGCCAGCACCCGTGGTGCACATTTTACTCCTTCTTCTTTACATATGTGCTCGAGACGAGTTAGCATTATGTCATGCGATAAAGGTTTGAATCTGAATTTGGAGCATCGAGACGTCAATGGGTCAATAATGCAACTCACATAATTGCAAATAAGGCAGAATCTAGTAGTCTTTGTCTCTCGTTCAATGGTACGCCTAAGCGCTGCTTGAGCAGGTGCTGTCATTGAGTCAGCTTCATCTAACACAACAATTTTGAACGGTGGACAAGGTTTACCATCTGGTCTTCGGTCAGAAGCTGTAAGCTGTGCAAAAGTTTTAACTTTGTCTCGAATAACCTGAATACCACGATCATCAGATGCATTAAGTTCTAACATACGGTTTTTGTACATATCTCCAAACAGCTGGCGGGCAGCTGCAATTATGGTACTAGTTTTACCGGTACCAGGTGGTCCATAAAACAATAAGTGAGGCATATCGGCACCTTGTTCTAAACATTGTTTTAGTACAGCCACAATCTCTGACTGTTCAGATACCTCATCGACCGTTCGAGGTCGATATTTTTCCACCCAAGGTGTGGTGCTATTAGAAATTCCCCTTGAGCCATCATTACTCTTCAGACCACTGCTAGTTGATTGTTGTTCTTGGTTGATTTTTCCAGTTTTTAGAAAAGAATCCATTATTAGTTATAATTCCTAAAATACAAGAAAATTATATGAATATAAATCATTTAAATAGTAATTACTAAAAAATAATTAATGGGAAAGAATACAGATTACGCTAATAAAGATAAATTACTTAAAGTGTGACAAATATATGTTTAATATATTTTTTTTAAATATAGTGAAAATAATTACAATTCAATTATTTCTAAAAATTTAAAAACTTAAAATTTAAAATTGACTGGATTATTTTATAAAATTGCACTACATATGATTGAACCATACTGGTTTGTTATTACTATGCGTGGGCTCATTGTTAAGTTTGTACTGCTCCATCATTCTAGTTTGTCATTATTCCACCACCCATATATTTTAATAAAAATAATATAATCGTAATAATTATTTTTATTAATTATTCCAAAAATTAAAATAATATAATAATTTGGACTTTTAGCATTTAGTTTAGATTGCCACAAATTTCACCATGTACGATTCTAAAAAATATGCTTTACTGTTCATTGGAGTTTCTATAGTACTGACTTGTTGAATTCTAAATTATCTCCACATTCGAGATAGAGTTCACTAAATGGTATCAACTAACTTAATTACAAGGAAATCCTATTTCTTACAAAGTAATATAACCTTTAAGAAAATATATGGAACCTAGTGTAGTATAGTGGTTAACAATTAGTATCAATGTCTTCTCTGATCGATTTGGCAAACCAGTCATTAACAATGAATAATGATTAACAAAAACAAAAAACATACTAAGAACTTAGAGACATGATCAAGGTTTCTATAGGTACTATTTAATTTTGTATTTAATTTATCAATCTAATCATATAGATACCTAGTGTAATTTTTTTCTCCAAAATCGTTGAATTATTTAATTAGTCGAAGTGGGGGGGGGGGAATACAGAGGGATGACATCCCTCTACTTTTTTGTATTTACATTTTTCATCCCTCTACTTATTTTGTTTAGAATAACACATTTCTCCTAAGACTTGTGTTATAAAATGAAATAATTATTATGATTTTTATATTTATACCTATGTATAAGAAAGCTTTTTATTTTTCGTATAGGCCTAAATCTGAATTGTAAGGCAACCCTCCACTTATCTTGAGCCATTTCGACCACTGAATAAATGTATACAACTGTAGTATATACGACCATTCGATAAGATAAATCCTTAAAGGCTGACATTCATTTTATGATGTTCAACACAAAGATCTTAGAAATTTTTGATGTTTATTATTGAGCAAACAATTATTGGTAGATATTTAATAATTTTTCATTACTTACAAATTTCAAATGATTAAAAACTCCACAAAAGTCCGTCTGTCGTTAATTATTTCTGAACATTGAAAGAAAAAAATTGTAATGTAGAATTCAGAATGTACTGAGTAAGAATGTTGCATGTATTCATTCAAGTACGTAGAGCAGACATGGTAACGCAGAGCCGCAGAATGCCGAAAGTCCGGAGAGGATGAATGATACAAATTTGAGACTTGAGTATTTCAGTGATAGTATTTTGTAGATTTACCGCCAAAAAAATGTTCAATATAAAGGTAAACATGTAAAGTGTAAGAAAATATATTGTTCGTGTTGTCATACTTTAGGTTATGTTTATAATCGATTATACCACGGTCTTGTAAATGATTATTTCAAAATTGATAAGATGGTATTGAAACTTGAAAGTCTATATTGTACAATTATTTTCAATTTGAACCTTATTTTTAAAATTTTTAATCCGTAGTTATTTATCATTGAAATTTTATTAGTACCTGTAAATAATTGTACATAATAATCCACCGTTTAAAGTAAGTAAATTATATTTTTAAATCTTCTTCTCCTAAGTATAACATACTATTTTATGTTTTGTAATTTGTATAGTAACTCAAATAGTGATAAGCGGGCTAAGACCCTCAACAATTTTCAAATTTCCTAAAAAATAAAATAACTTATTCTTTGACGATGAGTGTGATCATTTTAAACACACACTATGTTTCAAAACTCGCTTGGAGGAAAAGTTTTGCACACATTAATGAAGTCTAAAACTTTGTATTTAGTTAGTTTAGAAAACTTAAATTAATCGTTTTCAATCTGTTTATTAATTAATTGTAGTAGTTTGCTATTTTGTCAATTTTGTATGTATCCTAAATTATTTACAAATTATTAATTTTTTTTTTTAAATTTGTTGAACTTAACTAAGTAAATATTTTAATAATTTAATGTTTATAAAAGAGACATTACTAGAATTACAATACATAGTTAATAATTGATTATAATGACTATTTGTTTTTATAGGTAACAAAATTATTCTTTAAGAAACATGGCTGAAGAAGAATCAAATCCCAAACCTTCATATCCTTTGAAAGTGTTTTATTGCGGTAACTGTTCACTTCCGCCAGAATACTGTGACTTTTCCTCAGACACTGATCGTTGTCGGGAATGGCTTGAAAAGTATTTACCTGATGAGTTTAATAGAATTATGACTTGTAGTGGGACTGCCGGAGGTGATGACTCTGATGAGAAAAAACGTCAAAAACGCGGTGGAAAAGGTATGGTTAAGTCAAAGAAGAAAGATGATGGGCCCAAACAAGTGAGTAGACTTCAAAATAACCTTTAAATTAACTCAAAATAGTTCATTTATGTATTTATTGACATTGTTTAGGTATGTTTATCCAGAGCACCAAGGGGCAAAAAGAAATCTGTTACTGTTGTAACTGGCTTGAGTACATTTAACATTGATTTAAAAGTTGCCGCTAAATTTTTCGGTTCTAAATTTGCATGTGGATCGAGTGTGACAGGAGAGGATGAAATTGTCATACAAGGTGATGTCAAAGATGATCTGTTTGATATAATACCTGAAAAATGGCCTGAAGTTGATGAAGATTACATTGAAGACCTTGGAGATCTTAAACGGTGATCACAACAAAATGTATTTATTTTCAATGTGAAACTAACTATTCAGCCATTGAAGTTTTGTTTGACTTAAGTCAATTGAATAATCTTCGTTGTTGTCACCCTGAATATTTAAATGTATGAAACCAATATATTGTTATTGGATATATTATACTATTTCCAATCACCTAATTGTTATTTCATTATTTTTATGTAAACAATTCCTTCGTCCACTTCTTCAAAAAAGGAAAAGCTGACATTCTACAGACTTAACAAGAATAACTTATTTTTTTTTTAATTAACCTTAATTAATGATTAATAGTTAATAATATTTTTGGGAATTATGTAAAATTGTAATTAGTAATATAGGGTTATCATTTATTTTAAAGAATAGTCATGTTAAATTCATTAAACCATAGAAAACACATGATGTGCATTGATCATCTGTATTAGGGAAGAAATAAGTTTTGAAAAAAAAAGTAACCAAGTTAATAATCTACAAAATTTTATTTTATTGATTGTTGGTTATAACCATAGAGTAAGAATGTTGGTTATAACCACAAACTACGATTGGGTAGACTGAAAATGTACAGGCAGATGACAGAGAGCCATGCAGGTTTCTGAAGGTTTAGAAGGAAGGGACTTTATCACGAAAAGTATGAGCTGCCCTATGCACCACCTACATTCATATTGTTTCTGTATGAATATTATGGAGCATGCTGAATGCTTGAGGCATGCTTGTATTGTTTCCCCCATAGGCACATGGATTATGTAGAGATAAGGCTCTGGTTTGATGCTTCCAGGATTCTATCTGAGTCTATAATTATAAATTTTTATTAAACCAGTTTTTATTAAAATTACAATTGCATGTTTCGAGTTAAACACTGCTGCCCATTGGTGCAGTCTGCATTGATAGCTAAACCAATATTGAAAACAATCTTGGGATAAATTCCAATATTGTAGATACTACAAAAATACCAGTCAAATTTCGGATAGTAAGACTAGAATGATCGAATTATTACAGCATTTACTATTTTATTACAAAAATAACAATTCTTGTTGCAAATTAATTTTATTTTTTTATCATTTAATACTTATGCAAATGCTCAATGCATTATGATATAGATGATGTTTTCACAAAATTTTAGGGTTACATTAATAAATTAAAAAATACAGGTAGTACTATTAATTAGGAAGGCAATCACACATTTGTAATTTAAAGTGCCATTTAAAATAAACATTGTACATGTTATTACACATTGAACTTAAGACAGTTACATAATAATTAATTTTGACAGTTCTCATTTTACAATACAATATATTGTTATAATTTATAAAACAATACAACAGCTAAATAAAAATGTTATTATGTATATATTATATACTATATCACTAAGAGAATTTTTTTTACTTTAAATAGGCAACATATAACATAAGCCTTAAAAATCTGTTGATTTGTGTTTGTAAAAAATATATATTTTAAAATTTTGTTTTGCTTATATATTAGTATAAAAAAGTATAAATATTGAAAAATGTAGTAAAGAAAAGTTTTATGTTAGCTGTTGCTTGGTGCTGAATATATGCAAACGGCCAGATCCATTTCCCCCAACATAAATAGCCTGAGTGGGATGTACTTCGATGACTGAACAATATGTACTCATATTTGGATTCATTAGATTGTGCAATACATGTCCAGCACAATTATAAACTTGTATCTGAAAATAAACAAGACTAATTAATAGTGTATATATAAATAAAAGAATACATTAGGTTTGATATAAATTACATAGGTACTGTACTAACTATATGCAGATTAATGATATTATCAGTGTCATTTGCAATTTTATATATTGTTTCATTTAGTCTAGTATTTTCCAAAACATGATAAATTCATTTTAATATCAGTAACATATAAGTCAGCAAGAAGTTCTTCCTTATTTTATTTATGACCTCAATGTTGCCATAGGCATAGTCAGTGCATTATATTAGTGTGTTATAATTATTCATATTTACTTAGTTCTACTTTTTACTTATTTGATATTTTTTATTTAGTTTTGCTGTATAAATTACATGTTTATTTTAATTTTAAATATATTATGATGCCTGACATGAGGAAAAAAAAAATATATATCAGAAAGTATTACAACAAATAGCTATTGCTTTATTTACAAGTCAAACCACACTCTCAAATGCCTTTTTTTTATTGAACTTAAGCCTGGCGACTAAGGCCATTAGCTGTTGTTGGGGTAAGGTTGGTACTGTAGGTTGTTTTTATGATTGTTTTGGGTTGTTACGGTTGGTAGCAAATACATGTATGTGTGGCAAGGTTTTTAACTAGGTACTATGAACCCGGGTGGTCACCCATCCGGGAGCTTGTAGCTGTGGTCAGTGCCGCCGATGTTTTGAAAATGTGGTGGGGAAATTTTGAAACTTCGCGGCCTCAATATATTAATTATTTAATATAGAAATACTTGCCCTAAATATATTTACTCGTAATTAGAGTTACGTGGATTTAATATACTCATGCTCATAATAAAGTTATGATGTAAAAAAAAAATTAAACATTTTTAAAAAAAGAGGTCGGGCCATGGCCCGACGTTAGCATGGACTTCGGCGCCACTGGCTGTGGCCACTACTTACCTACTCCCAGTCGCATTCTGCGATTGGTAGTAGCCAACGCGCCACGCCAAGCCACCAAATGCCTTTTGTTTTAGATAAAGATAGATAAATATATTTCATTTAATTTCTATGCTAATGAGTAAACATTATATTTAACCAATAAATGCCTTTTATTTTTTGCTTTTAACCATCTTTTTCATATTTTGCATTAAATTATCAATACTGATCACAATTTTATTTGTATTTATGGTACAAATTGATAAGAGCCATCAAGAATATTAGCCAACAATACTAGATAATTATTTATGACATAAATTGTATGAAATACCCACCTATTACTCTGGTAAATGTTGAAAGATTACTTATTAGGCTTAAAAATATTTTATGATTTTTCAAAATATGTGGTTGTACTTTTTATTTTACACTAAATAGGTAATTGGCGAAACCCCATTACATTTTTCTTACATACAAATTATAATCCATCAATATATTAACATATATTTCTATAGGCTTACTGGCAATCTCTTAAATTATTAAGTACAATGTTTGAACTATCACCGATGAATTAATTATTTTAGTAGATTAGTATATACTATATCTCAATAATGATACCATATAAGAATATTCTGCTAAAAACCATTTTAATATTAATATTAATTACTAAACATACTCTCTTTGGTGATATCATTGATCCAACGAAGAATTCATTATCTCTTCCAGGATTAAATTTAGCTTTGAATACTGAAAGCCATCGCCCTGTATGATTGTTATGTGGAATTACGTTTATGGGTTCTAAAAAATAATATTTGAATTAATATTTCATAAATATTTATCTTATCTAACATATCTGATGCACCTTAAATTAGGTTACATTACTTGGATTCACTACAATCTACTGTTTATTTTGTACATAAAACTGCATAGAAAAATGCTAATTTTTAGTGCCTAGAAATTTGGCAAAGGGATGCATGTCAAATTGATCAAAAAGATAGTTAAAAATGAATTTTGAACCATTATTAATTTTTTATCATTTGATAAAAATTATTGTTCTTAGTTAATTTTATCAATTTGTCTTTTAACAAATTAAAATTATAATTTATAACATGCATAAAAATTATCTTTTGGTCCACTTAGTTTTGACAACATCGGCCACTAAAAATTCACTAGGATAAAATCTACTTTATGTAAAAATTGGGTCTAGGTGGGTAATTTCTACTTCTCGTGCAGAAACAGTATTTTTATAATTGTGAAATAAAAAATTTATTGAACATTTTCATAGAAAACCAAGGTTTTCAACTTACTTGTAGCACTTGAATTTAATATAGTAGTGTTAAAGATTCTAATGTTGTCATCATTACATGTAGACACCATTTTAGTACCAGATGCAGAAAAAAATGCACTTGTCAATGATTTAGGATGTTCAAATTTTAAGACTGGATCAATTTTTTTGGTAGTCACATTCCTTATGTCCCACAAGGAAACTTCTCTAAAAGTATACATGTAATTATATTTTATTAGTGAATGAAACAAATATCAATAAAATGCATTACCCGAATAACACTAAATGTTTTTAATAATACATTTAAACGCTATAATTTTGGTTCATATAATATTTCAATAACAATAAACAATAAATTACCCAATTCCAGACGAAGTTAAAAAATGATGTTTCTCCACTGGGTGGCAATGAACTGTACGCACAGACCTTTCATGGCACCAAGCAGTCTTAATAATTTTATCTGGTGTTCGTGTGTCAACCATATCTACATGACCAGTACCTTAAAAATTTAAGTACAATAATAAAAGCTTGATATGTCATGAAGTTTAACAGTTAAAAGGTGTCAGGTGTAAGAACATACCACTCCCAATGAGAAGATTTCTTTCAAATTCAGTGTGCCATGTGGCATGATTCGGTTTTGAACTACTTTGACCTTTCCATTCTGTCTTATAGATCTATTTATATAAATAGTACAACTTTAATTGACATAGTTACAAAGATCATATGAAATAAGATATAGAAAATTTTGGTTACAATATCAAAAGTTCGTTTAACAATGTCACCACATCTGACTGTCCCATCATGACTAGTTGAAAACAACTTATATGGATCCCAAGTACAAAATGAAATACAATTAACAGGAGCATCATGAAGTCTATACTCGCGCAATTCTGAATTATTATTGTTGTACAAGGCTACAAAATAGAATTACAACATATAATTTAAGACATATTTGCAATAAAATTATTTTTTATACTATTAATTAAATAATAAAAATATTTAATTATAAATTATGTCTCACATATGTTTCCTCTCAGGTCACCTGCTGCAACTATCAAAGATGTTTCCGAAGGATGAATAGCAAGAGAGTAGATACGTTTTTCACACACTTTTAGTGATGGGGTATACATATCAAGACTTTTCAACACATGTACAAATCTAAATATAAATAAAATAATGTTTAACTTATTAGTAGAGAAAAATGGAACTATTTGTATATTTGTAATGAGATTTAGAAAAATATTCTCATTGGAGTAAGAAGGACAAAGAGAACCACATAGCTGCTTTTGGCGATAAACTCATACCTGACTATATTCAATAAAATTATCATTTTATAAGCAGACACTTAATTGAATGGGAAAATATGAATTATTAATAACTTAAAACTTATTGCATACTTATGACTTGGTAACACATGGAAATCATTAACAGGTTTTTTAATGGCTAAGTCATCATTCAGTTTTTCAACAAAATCAGAATCTTCTTCTGGTATTGATATGGAACCTTAAATAAATATAATAATCTTAATTTATAATTACATTTTACAACATTAATTTGATAAAACGTAATTAGTAATAAGTAAAATAATTTTTCTTTGAAGGCACACACTGGCGAATGTAGTGAAACAGGTCATGATTTATTTTTTAAATGTAGTTTACAAACAGAATACATAGATTGGGTGTCGCATACTTATCTTACTGGTATTTTTTTAAGCTCAATCCTTGGATAAAAACTAAAACGTATAATAATATGTAATTGATTTGTTCTGCTCATCCTCGCACGTCACCCAGCCTAACCAGTTATTCTCACCAAGACTTCAAAGGGAAGGGTTGTAATCGGGTGGAACCGGTCAAAGTTGGCTTTGTGAACAGGTTATTTGGAGGATGAAAACATTTGAAATTTGGAATATGTAAGTGTTCAACACAAAAAAAATCTTTAATTTAAGTTAGAGATGTGTGCTGGAAATGTACCAGGTAAATTTTACCAATTTATTTTTAACTGGTAAATTACTTTTAACCCAAAAAAATGTTCCCTTTCTAATCAAATGCAATTAACGCCTATTTTGAATCGTAGATATATTTTGATAATAATCATTTATCACCAATACAATTGTTATACTATTATACTAACTACTTAATATCATATTTTCTATTTTCTAGACATTGTATATTAGTAATAGTTAATAGAAAATAAATATGAATGTTTTGACTTTTGAACATACAAAAATAAAGATAATTTTGTGTTCATTTTGGTACTTTAATTTTAATCAATTATTAATTATATTTTTTTTTTCTTATCTAAAACTTACACAATCTATACTAAAAAAGTGTTCATTATATTATGAATAATTAAATATTCACAATATGTAGTATGTACTGATATAGAACAACATGTCCATTTTTAGTTCTGTATTGTTATTATTAGGAAGAACTAAATTTGTCAATCATACATCAATTTAAATAACAATTGTATTTACTGAAATATGGCTCAAAGATTTTTTTTATATTTTTATTCTATTTTACCACATTATTGGTGAATTTACTGATTTTTTTTTTACTTAAGTTCTCAATTTCTAATTTAAGTATACACATGCGCTTACTTTTATTTTTAAAATTAGATTCATACGGATAATCATGGCTTCGAGGAATTGTATGACTATCAGATGTTAATATAGATTCCTCAGAGAGATGATTATCTTCAGGTGCAGGCAAATTAGCTAATCTTAATGAACGTCTCGAAGGTTTTCTGAAAAAATATATAAATTAGGAAATTGAATTACAATTATTTAAGTAATTTGATCGAACAATTTAATACTTACACTGTGCCTGGTATATTTTTCGGTTTAATTTTTCTTTTTGATTGCGTCGTCTGTATTTCTAAACTGTTTACTAATGTCGCTGCAGCTTGATTTACACCAAGTATACTAAAATATTAATATATATTATTTAATTCATCAAAAAATTATAGATGAACAATAATTCAAATTTTAATGCACAATCAAAATGTGTGCTATAGCCTATAATATTATACAAAGTAAAACACCAAGCACACTCCCATTTCCTTTTTATAATGAATAAATTGAAATTTAATTCTGAATTTAGTATTTTCAAGTTGGTACCTAAAGGTATATATACCCTATTTTAAAATTACATATATTATTGTGCCATTAAAAGAGTGTCCTGGCCAATAACAACTTATTTTTGTAATGGGAATTAGTCTTTTTCTGTAAATTGTTAAACAGATCAATTTTTAAAAAAATCTTATGCATCTTATTTGAAATGCAAGCAAGTAGTTTTTAAGTTATTTAAATTTCTGTACTAAGAATACATTTGGATTTCTGAAGATATGAGGGTCATGATGAAAATTGAAATAATAAATAATTTAATAACATTTTATAAGCAATTTGTAAAAATGTTCTGAGTGTAGGCACCTCCTACTGAATTAAATAATTACATCTATTTTACATTTTTGTAAAACTATTTTAAGAACTAACTAAAATCTAAGTTAAAATATAAGTATTTAAAATAAGGCCTTTAAGCAGGTATACCAATACGTTCAAGTTCCAAAAATCACTATTACAGAATTATATGAAAAATGTTGATTAGCATTCTTGATGAATCACACTGCTTATATATTTACTTATTATTTAACCAGGTTATTATTTAAAGGTTTATAATTTTAGATCATAATAGTGTTCCATAGGAGGTTGAAAAAGCTTAATTTTAAAATACATATGTCTAAATAATTAACAGTTGACTTTGTATTTATACATATAACTGTTGAAAAAAATAATTTTAAGAGAAAATAACTCACTCCAACATTTCTTCATTTTTTTTCATTCTTTTTTCTCTTTGTTGTTCATACGTCAAATGTTCGTTTTCATCGTCAGACATACTTTCAATGTCGTCCATTTTTTAAGGCGATGAGTCTTGAATTCTAATAATTTTAGAGATTAAAATTCCAACTAGAAAATACGAAATAGACTTACATATTATAGAGGTATGTACAGAATAATGTTATACATTATTTAACTATAATAAGGATAAATAAAATACAAAAATGTTAGCTGTGTACGGTTTAGGTACGATTATAAATGGGAAAATAACTTTTGGTACCTTTAATAGACGGTTGACAGTTATACTAAACTTAATACTATCATATCACACCGTTCAACCTTAGATAAACAGGCTTCCATTAACGATGAGTCTATGTCAAGCTAGCAGGGACTAGGGAGGTAATTGGGATTAGGGCACTTCCGTAGAAAAGATTAACCTCAAGAGGACACCATACGGGCATGTGTTGTCTCTGTCTTACAAACATAGAACATAACGCATTTTACGTTCATAATAGTACATTTTACTCTGTAATTTCTAAAATTAGAGTGAATTTACCTCTTATATAAATGAGTTCCATTAAAGTAAGAACACTAATACAATTATTTGAGATGCCCTAAAAAATATTATTGCGTTTAAATTGTATAAGAGATAAATTCACTTTAATTTTAGAAATTACATATTAATACGTATTATTGTGAACGTATAACTTGATACGTTGTTAGTTTGTAAAACGGAGACAACAAATACCCGTGTGGCATCACCTTACAAAGAATGGGCATTTCATCAAGATTTATAAATATATTAACTATAGTTATTAGTTTATTATTCATTATAGATTTATACTTTAATGCTTTTGCCCATGGAGCAGTGCTCGAAATTCAAAAAAAAAAGTAGAAACTTCAAACTTGCCAAGTTGCAAACAGTTGAAGATTAAATTATGATAAAGTAATCTTACCTTACTAAAGACCAAACCTTATCATGGGTTAATGTTTAAGCTAATAAGCTACAACTCCACGACTAGTGAATGGTGAAAAAGAATTTCTCCTTCAGTCGTGAGCTTGAATCGTTTGACTATTGCAACTTGCAGATCGTGAGCCACAACTCTGAAAGTCGAGTTCTCTAATAAGATTCCAAAAATTAAAAACGTTCACCAATTTAACTCACAAAATAACAATATAACGAATACCGATACCGAATAACCCACGGAGTAAAAATATAAATAATAATATTAACCTAACATTATTGAAAAATAGCGCGAAAATGTACAACCTCCTAGTTATTCACACGGCGTCTATTTTGTTATCAGTTCGATGTTTATCATCATCTATCAACAAAACACAGGACGATAGACCTGACTCTATACGATAGACCGACATGACTACATGAGCACATCACTTTTTTTGTGTGTTGTGTTACTCGTGACTTCTGGTGTCGGTGTCCATTGAAAATTATTGGGAAAAGTTCGTTTCCGAAGTTGAAATGGGATCAAACAAAATGGTATGTTGATCATTATTATTGTTTTGTATAAATTGTGTGCTGAACGTTCGAGTACACCTGAAAGATATAACTTGTCGGAAGTTCACTATGTTCGTTATGCATCATCTTTCCTTATTCGGGTATAGGTATTATGTTATTGACTTTTGCTATGTAAATAATCAACTACAAAACAACACGTAAACTGTTGTTCGGCCGATAACTGTATTTTGTAATTATTGTAATTTGTAATCATTATGGGCTATAGCCTTATTGCAATAAACTTTTATAACGTAAAATCATACTTATATTTTTTTTCGATACTTTACCAAACCTAGTTTCAACTCTTGTCTATGTACACAAATTTAATTTTATTGTTCTTACCATTTAGTTTTTGGTTTTAGCTTGTTATTGCCCAGCTTCCAGACGATCGTGTTGTCATTATTTTTATCTAAAAATTCAATACTTCTCTGTATGTTGATCATTTATTTGTTAGGAAGTCCATTACGCAATATATTCATAGAAATATGGTAAATACCTGAGTCTTATTATAGTTAAATTCATGCATACCTATTTCATTATATTATCATGATATTAGCTTGTCGCAATACTCTGTGTAGTTTTAAGGGCGTACATTCAATCGTTAAAAATGTTTTTTTCTGAGACACACACTACATTTTAATTATTACCTTCATTCATTTTTACAACTAAAACATTTTGTTAAAACTGTGGTTAAAACAAATAAAATATGTGACATGTTCAAGAAATAAAAGTTAAAGGACTTTTAGAAAATTTTTTTAGTTTTATTTTTGTGTTTATTTGAAAGTTTTGTTACGGTTTACGTATAAAAAAATGTCAAGAGTACAGCAACAGTCACTTTAAGTAGGTTGATAACAAACAAATAAGTAATTGTATATATTTTTTTAAATATTTTGGTTGTTTGTTATAAAACTGAATACAAAACCTAAATATTATATTCTTATTTTTTACGAGTAGCTGGTGGAATGAATTATAAATCATTAATCTTATTTAAATCAAACAGATAAAACTCTATGTAGTAAAAATGCATAATATTAAATTCTATGTAGTAATGTGTAACAGCTCACTAATTTGCATGTGTGATATTATGTATGTTATTTTGTTTTCTAGATTATAATGATTATTTAATCAAGTTATCGCTAAACTTCAATTTCTGATAGCTTTTACACTATAATAACTATTTTTATAATTATTTTATATTTAACAAGTATCTTATGTTCATGTACCTAATCTATTTAAGTAATTAAATTCATATGTTTCTAGGTGTAAATGTGGTGATTTGCTGATGGAAATAGTGATTGTGTTCGGCCATTTTTAAGAAACAGAATACCTGGATATTAATTCATTCAACAGTACTCCAGAGCTTTCAAATAATATCCACAACCGTAAGCTTATTTTATAATTAAAATATCTGTTCAAATTTCTTGTGTGGTTCGAATATGTATGAACCAGAAGTTTTTGAAGAAGATTTGCTAATACCACCTGGTGAAGATGTTGCTCTCCCCCCAGCCCTTGAACAAGCATTGAGCAATATTCAAGCAACCGAATATTCACAAGAAGACAACACTGAAGTTGTACAGCCTACAGTTGAAGAAGTTGAGGATGATGAAGATGATGACGACGATGATGATGAAGAAGAGGAACAAGTAGTTAAAATGTCTACTAAAGATCGTAAAGTAGCTAAAAGAAGGAAGAAAAAGTATAAGAAGAAAAAGAAGAAGCAGTTGAAAAATGAGCAAAAGGTAAAAGAATCAACATCTTCAGACAAAGAGAACAAGGTTGACAAATTAGATATTGAGGTTGAATACATACAAGAAACTTTAAGCGTGTTCAACCTTGTACCTATGTATAGGCAATATGCTAAAGTGTTTGAGAATTTCAAAATTCCTGAACCAGAACAAAAACCAGCTGATCTAGATGGTGGTCAAGAAGCTACTTTACCCAGTTTAGATTTAAAGAAAGTGCCTAAGCTTCCTGAACAAGAAGATGATGATGATCTCAGAGATAAAGATGGAGAAAACCAGCAGAAGGGTCCTGATAAGTTGTCTAGAAGACAATTTAAAAAGGTTACTCGTTTAAGTGTAGCTGAACTAAAGCAACTTGTTTCTAGACCAGATGTTGTAGAAATGCACGATGTGACTGCCAGAGATCCTCATCTTTTAATACAGTTAAAAGCACATCGTAACACAGTACCTGTACCTCGCCATTGGTGTTTTAAGCGTAAGTATTTACAAGGTAAACGAGGTATTGAGAAGCCACCATTTGATTTGCCTGATTTTATTAAGCGTACTGGTATCATGGAAATGAGAGCTGCCCATCAAGAAAAAGAAGATGAAAAATCATTAAAAAATAAAATGAGAGAAAGGGTTAGACCTAAAATGGGAAAAATAGATATTGATTACAAAAAATTACATGACGCATTTTTCAAATTGCAAACTAAACCAAGATTATCTCTTCATGGTGACTTGTATTATGAAGGCAAAGAATACGAGACTAAACTCAGAGAAAAGAAACCTGGTGATTTAAGCGCCGAATTGCGTACTGCATTAGGTATGCCAGTTGGTCATAACGCTCACAAAGTTCCTCCCCCGTGGCTTATTGCTATGCAACGTTATGGTCCACCACCGTCTTATCCAGCTCTTAAAATTCCTGGTCTAAATGCTCCCATTCCCGAGGGATGTTCTTTTGGTTACCATGCTGGTGGTTGGGGTAAACCTCCTGTTGATGAACGTGGTCGACCTCTTTATGGAAATGTGTTTGGTACACCATCTGATTATGATGAATCCCATGTAGCTGAAGAGCAAATTGATAAATCTATGTGGGGAGAACCAGATTCTGAATCAGACGCAGAAGAAAGTGAAGAAGAAGAAGAGGAAGAAGAAGTTAAAGAAACCGAAGAAGTAGCAATTGATGCTAGTGGTATTGCCACACCGGTTGCTGAAGGCTTAGCTACACCATCAGGAATTATGTCTGGATTACCAAGTGGTTACGAAACACCCGAATATATTGAATTAAGAAAACGTAAGATTGAATCTGAAATGGAAAGTAGTGAGCAACAACCACTCTACCATGTTTTACCAGAGAAGAAGGTGGACACTGTTCGTGGCTCTATGATGGCATCTACTCACATGTATGACATACCAACTGCTGCTGCAAATAAACCTGGTGAAGTTGAAGTCAGTTTAGATCCATCTGAATTGGAGTTAGCTGGAGATGTAGAAGCTATGGCAGCTAGATATGAGCAAAGAATGAAGGATCAACAGGGTGGGGAAGATGATGGCACCGAGACCGAAAAGAAAAAAGGACAGAAGCGGAAAGCTGCTCAAGAAGCAAAAACAAGCAAAAAATATAAAGATTTCAAATTTTAAACAAATAAGATTAAATTATACCTTGTGCATTTTACAAAATATTAAAATGACGTTTATGTATCATATAATTCTTTGTATTCAACTATTTATAATCACTATAAAGTGTATAAATTATGTTATCATTGAACAGAATTGGTATTAAAATTGTACTAAACTTAAAAATGAAATCCGCTTAATAAAAATAATTTTTAGAGCTACACGAAGAATATTTAATTATGATTAGAAACTCATACATAAAAATAAATTCAAACAAAATTTTAAAGCGCTATGTGTTATTAATAAATTTTATTTGCGGATGATTGAAAACAATGCAAATATTATGGCTGTATAGAAATAATAAATAATTAAGAGGAGGAAATTCAACTCCAAAATAGTAGTTTGGTACTTAAATTTGTTGTTATACATGGCATAATTAGTATGACATATTTAGTGTATTATGAAATGATTGTGATTTAGTTATATATGTAGGCATTACCGTGTCACATGTCTCAGGTTTTTATTTGAATAGATTTAAATGTATGCACCTACATATTACTGGCAAAGTGGGCGTTGCACCATATACAATATATGTTAAGACTGACTGTCACCAGTTTGAAATAAGTTACAAATATACACACTACCTTGTGTTTATTTTCAGGTTTTGACTCTGAATACGCTTTGGTGAATTAAGCCGGAGTATTTTACTGTCCATTCTATCGGACTGGAGACGAATTTGATGTAACGTTTCAGAAAAATTATTTAGGCAAGACCATGTCCTATTAACTCAATATTATTAGTTTATAATTATGTTGAGCATCGTTCAGTCGTATACTTAGTGTCATAATTTTCGGTACAGTATAAGCGCAAACGCAACTATAGGTTTATTAGGTTTTTTGATTTTACTTAACTTTTCCTAGACATTTAGTACAGAGGTTGTGATCGGTTTGACCGGATCCCCGTGCATTCCTGCAAACAGGCTGTCAAACGGCGGTAACACCTGTAACGAGCTGTTGACTACTTGGACACTGCTTACGGTTTGTCGTGTACTCAGCACCCATAGCTACAGCTGTTTAAGCGCAAACTTTCGACGTCGTTGTCCAGTAAAAGAAGACTGATTATCGCCTACTCCAAACTACCCTCCATCATCGCCTGCCAACACCCAACACTGTCATACAGACGTGTATTTTGTAACGTGTCTTACAGATGGGTGACCGCGAATGACACGAATCCCGACAACGTCTGCAATACTTTTATTTTTGGGTCACCCATAACCCGTTTCTGTTGAAGCTCCGAACTCCGGTGGTTGCCGATAAAGACTCCCAGGTAATGACCGGAGATTCTTTTGTGCTTGCTCCCAATGACGCGGTGGCAGTTTTTTTTAGGCCCAGGACTCAGTCAGTGGGCATATGTGGGTTATTGCAAGGTATAATCGATTGCTAATAAATAACAAGTGACATTAGGTCCCGCGACTGTGCACTGCGTCCATACGGGCCATCCTTGTGCCTGATAAGATCAAAAAATAATTAAAACACGTCGCATGGCTTATGTCATAATATGTTTCGATTGTACAGTATATTTTTACTGATCTATAGGTATTCGATACAAAATGCTTGGTTATCTCAGGTTTGTTCTAAGGTATTATATCTTATAAGGTTATAAGTTATTACGCTTACGGTAAGTTTTCCTTAAACTTCGTGCATCTGTCTATACGCCAATATTGTACTCAAACATTTTTTTTATTCTAAAAAGAAAATAGTTGGTTAATTTAGGTTTTTAAAATGTTTGTATGGCCCGTGTGTTATTTATTTATTTTTATGTATAGGTGCTCGCATATATTTAGCTTTAATATATTAATGAAAAAAATAATATCAATGACGGTGACCCGTGGGTTTTGCAGGGACTGCTTGGAAATCTAGTGGATCCGAGGCTTGCTGGAGGTCCCCTAGGGCGAACCACGACGACTGCAGAAATGAACAGAATTCCCGTTTGCGAGGTGATCTACCAGCGTCCGTTGGCCGACAACGATGTGTCGCCGTCCTCCGTGTTTCGACCGCTGACCGGCGACGAGTGCTCCGCCGTGTTGACAGACGTGCGGCTGCAGGCGCCGTTGACCGACTGCGGCCCGTCCGCGTGGTTTGATGGGACGGACCGCTCGCTGGTGTTTGTTCTCGGCGAAGCGGACTGCGTGGTGGACAGGGGCTTGGAATCGGTGGTGGCCGGCATGCGACCGGGCGAGCTCCGGGAGTTTTGCTTGGGCGATGGGCGCGATGGCCGCGTTACCGGCCGCGTCCGGCTGTCGGCCGTGCGGAAGGCTGCTGGCGGGGCCGGCTGGAGCGGTGATGACAGGCTGAAACTGACGGAGGCGGCCAGGCACAAGGACGTGGGAAACCGTCTGTACGGACAGGGCCGATTCGCGGACGCGTTTCACCGGTTCAACCGGGCGGCTAGGGCGGTGCTGTTCGTCCGGAATGTGGACGCTGTCCGCGGCGACCGGGACGCCATGTACGCGGTCGTGTGCAACAACATGGCCGCCTGCCAGCTACGGCTGGCCAACTACGAGCACGCCTACCAGCTGTCCGGCAAGGCGCTGGCCGTCGACCCGAGCAACGTCAAGGCGCTGGTCCGCCGGTGCCAGGCGTCCGCCGAGCTCCGCATGTTCGACGGCGCCCTGGTCGATGCTGTCCGTGCCCTGGACATCGAACCCGGCAACGCGGTGGCCGAACGATACCGGGACGTGGCCGCGCGCGGTGTGGACGCTCAGAACGCCCGTTACGGCGACATGGTCAAGAAGATGTTTGCCTGAGACCAATAACCCGCCGCGTGTACGTACTGTTTTTATTCGTGCCCATAACAATGCCGTCTAACAACAAAAGTAATATGTACCTACCTATCTATAATAATTGCCTGTTTAACGTGCAGCGTGCAATAAACAACATTGTCCATACGATGTGCGAGTTATTTGTTTATTGTTACCTTTATGTCAAATATGTCATTTTATATGATGTCAACTGTAAATAAATGTCAATATGACCTTTTAAGTCAATACATGTCATTTTATATGTCGATTACAATTTACAAATGATGTCATTACTACAATGCGACCTCTTAGGTTTTGGTTTTGTTTTTATAACCGTCTTGGTGTTTAGACTAGGTAGTAGGTACTTACCTCCTCAGGCACAAATCCGGAGCAAAGATCTGGGGGAGGGGGCCCACAATTTTTGTTAGTGTAAAATTACAATATTTATTTATGTTGTAGGTGTATCAACGGGTATATACCCTTTTACAAATTATATAAAGGAAACATATCAGATAAAAACTAAATAAGTGTAGTAAAACCTAACAAAAACAGATAAAATAATATAAAATTAACTCTGAATTAAAATTAATAAAAATATAAAATTATAGTTACATTATGAACACTTTTTTTTTCCTTATTAATCAATCAATATTTTTTAATAATAACATAGATTTAGATTCAAAACAATTGCGTGGGAGAAAAAATATATCTAAATGTATACAAATTGTATTAGCTAAAATATTAAAACTCGAGGGGAAAAAAGAATTAGTACCACTATTCGTTTTATAATGAGGAACTAACTAAAAATAAATCTGAATTACGTGTTATTAGATATACCTATGGAATTCGAAAGCTGATTTCAGACAACAATTCGGGACACACAATATTGTAATTAACAAGATCATGGACAAACATAATATCATGTTAATTTCCGTCCAAGTGAAAGAGAAACAAGGCCAATATAATCTTGAGTCGGACGGAGAGACTCCCTAGATAATATGGAATAACTAGGAAAGTAGGAATGTTGGAATCACTGTCCACCATGAACTAAAATAGTAGGTACTATCTTAGTTTGTGCACCCCAGAATGAAACGTATTATAATAGTATATTATATTGTCAGACATACATGTAAGTTGAAATATAGTAATTATATCAGGAACTGTAGAATTATTAAAAACTATTTGGGAAATAATATGTAGGGAGAAGGGGTCTGCCCCCCCCCCTGAATCCGTCGCTGACCTAACTGACATTGCGGCGGCGTTGGTCACTGACCTTAACTTTGGCAGCCGCAAATGTGCATCGAGTCGATTCGGGGTTAGGTTAGGTTAATTTGTTTACTACACTGTAAAGCAACGATGAAGATACATTTTTCGTTTTAAATCAAACAAACGAACTCTGCCGCGGTCGAAACACCCAGTGGTCATTTTTGGCTACACATATTAAGAGCTCCGCCGCCGCCGTGCCAATCTATACTTACTGAAATGATGACTAAAACCGACGGCAATAAGAACCACCAGTGCCGTATTTCCCAGTAAACACTATAAGCTAGTGCTCAGGGCGGCAAATAATTTTTAATATTACATTTTTACTATAACATGGTTACCTAACTAGAACTAAAATAAAATGAAACTAATTATAAAATGTTTTTAGACCAACGGGATTGTGGTAATATTTATATTTTATGTTTTCCAATTTCATAATCGTAGAGTTGTATGTTTTTATTTTTCATCATTATAATTTTAAGTAAAAAATAAAAAACCATAATTGTTGGTATGCCCTGATAATGTTATTTTTTTAGACTAGAAAAATATTTATATTAAAAAGCGGAAAATTATTTAGTGCTTAAAGCGGCACACTGGTTAAATCAGGCACTGCCACTATCTCACGGTTCTAATGAAATGATATATTTATTAATTTTAGTCCGAGTTTGGTTCAAGAGCCTCGTCGTGGCCACCGCTCTAAAGGCGCGTCCACACCTGAGCGTGGATTTCCTCCGAGCGTGGCCAGGACACCGACCGAGTCAGTGGCCTCGTGCTGAGCACGGATCGCTAACATGTTTGCGCGGCTTGAATCTGCTCGCTTTACCGTCCACACACAAATTCGTAGCAAACAATTTGATGTGACCATGTACGCTCAGGTGTGGACGCGCCTTGTAACCCCGTTACCCTACATTTGAGTTTGGTCGTAGACAGTCGTATACTGTAGTACGTACTCAGTAGGTTGCATACTCAACATGCATGCTCGACTGTATAGCCAACATTTACAGGGTACTATGTTGAACAAAATATTTATATTTTATCAATGTAAAAAAAGATATTTTTAGAAAATTCAAATTTATAATTGCAATCATTTTTTAAAAAAATAATGTTTTATGTTAAACGGATGTGGATCAACCACTACCTATATAATATAGAAAATAAAATACCGAGTTTGTTTAGGTAGGTTAAGTACGTGCCTATTTCATAATCATTTGTAGAAAATTAGTATTTAGTACAAATGTACAATGCTAATTTATTATTAGTAGATAATTATTATACAAGAAATTATATAAGTATAGAACACCATATTATTATTTTACATGCAATCTTTTTTTGGCAAAATATAGTTCAACAGTTAGTTTGTTGTGCATTAAATGCTGGTTCTAATTCCTAAACTTGAAAGTTGTGTACGAGTATAAAGAGTATCTAATTTGTCTAATGTCTTGTTTAATATTGCTTTTACCAATTTTAACTTTGTATATTGTCGTAGCTATCCACAAGTCGTATTGTCTTTGGTGTATCTCTTATGAAACATATTTTTTACTCTACCCGAAGTTTGTAGGTTACCAGGATTAGGAAAATAAAAATTGGGCATGCCTAAATTGTCAACTGTTGCCTTAAATGAATAGACCTAAATGTTTTTTTGCAGCAACCTTATTTTACAAATACATCATGTGGTGAACATCATATAAATAAGATATCAAGTGGAGCTATTGTCTGAGATGAAAGAAGTCATTGCAAGAAAACATACTTGTTAAATTGTTTTAAGAGATTGAGACTTTACTATTTTATCTACCATCCAGATTCTGTTTGAACAAATAAAATAAAAGTATGTTGCTCTACTTTCTTCCATTAAGTTAAAGTTTGAGTTTGAATTACATTATGTTAATAATAAGTAGATCATTACATTTTGTATGATTTAAGCTATAGGTTGAAATAAAAAGTTGATACGTCAGAACAGATTATGGTTTCATGTTATAAAAAATGAATGTTACAATTAATGTAAAAGGAACTAGTTACAAAATAGGTATTTTTGGTTTAGTTTAAGTGCTAAATTGAAAAAAATCACAGTATTAATAACTATATATAATAACTCATAAAGTACAAAATATGCTTCATTAAAAATATAGAACATACATTTAATCATAAAATTATGAACACAACAACCTAAACACCCAAAACATTGACAATCAGTGTCTGACACTAAAATTGTAATATGCTAAGTACAAAACATCTGGTATTTTAACATAAAACTTGTACTCATATAAAATTAAAGTTGCACATTCACATTGTATTGGAACAAATAACTTAATTTTGATTGCTCTATTTTTACATACAATAAAATACCATTCGTTCAAATATGATTATGAATATTACAAAAATAAATAATATAACCCTTGTTTTTATTATTTTTTAACTTTAACATAAATCCAGAAAAAAATAACAGTCCCGTAATTAACTTAACATCCATGGCACTTAAAATAGTAATATTTATGTACATACAATTTAATCCTAAACCCACGGTAAAATGGTTATTGATTTACATATACTTAGGCAATGTAATTAATGAATAAATTATAATTCTTCACCAATAAACCGTTGTGTTGAATGTTTTTACATAAAACAGTAGAATAATCCACAGTAAACATAAATTAAAAATCGGAAATACAACTTATGTAAATAAAATTATTTAAACATTAGTTATTATTATTGCGAATACATTATTGGCGATTAAGGCATAAAAGACCTAAAAATTAGCCATATGTAAATACAAATATTAAAATCAAATTAATATAGCTGAGTATAAGAAATTTTACAGCTTGGTTCTAGTCCCCGTGATTTGAGCAATTTATCTAAGAAAAATGACAATTCAAATATATTTGGAAGACTAAGATGGGATTTTCTAATGAAAAATTATTAAAATCAGATAGTACAAAAATGACTGTTGAATTAAATATGTCTATTGAATGGGGCAAAATGTTTTGATAAAATAATTAAAACTAGATGTTACTTAATAAAAATTGTTATTATTTTTTGTATTGTTAAAATAGATTTATGATACAAATTTCCTTGAAACAAAATGTATTATTTGCTTGAAAAAATAATGAAAATTTTTTTACGAATTAAACACAATAAACAATATTAACTATCAATACACATTAACATTTAAAAATGATGATAAACATAATGAATTTCACATACAAGTAGATAGGTATAACATTTTATATATATATATAAAAAAAAATATATATAATCACAGAAAGTTAACATATGTGTGCCATTTATGATACGACTTAACAACGTCATGAGGCAATATTATATCATGACTGTTTAAACCTGTCGTTCATCTCGACATGGGAATTCATTCTTTGCATAGGTCTTTTTCCAAATGGGGACTGAACACCAGCAATAGGAGATGTTGTGTTATTCACGGCTATGTTGATTGCTTGGTTTGTGGCTTGTTCTAAACCTTTTTGAAGGAAAATTTCATAGCTTGGCTTCAGAAACTAAAACAATTTCAAATAATTAACAACTATAATACATGTTTTAATGATTAATAGAAATACTGACATTGTCCCACATAATGTTAGCAGCATCATCAATATTTGAACCTATTTCGCTATGTACTCCACTATACCTGCAATAGAATACAAAATTAAAAATACTTATCAAATATTTGTTGACATTCTATAAAGCATGAAGTAAGTTAATGGCCATTAAGATTCAACAAAATATTGAAATTCATGAATCACAAGCATTGATTAAGTATTCTTCTTCTCTTTCATTGTCATCATTATTAACAATTGATGATTCAATACCTGAACAATGTGAACCAGAGTATGAACTTCAAAAAACCTCAGAAAATAGTTCAAACCGTTAATTTGCTGGTCATTTGATTAATAATTGTACTGGGATATTGAAACCTAATAACTGTTCAATGTTCATGTATATTATTAAAATCTGATGAAGATGACAAATTTAATCAAGAAGAATTGTAAATGTTCTATAAAAACTACAAATCTCAACCATAATAAATTAAATATTTTGTAAATATTTTTTATTCTAGAGTGTCCTACCTAATTACGAGATTCACTCGAGAGTTCAAACCCTACTATATAGTATAGCGCCTTTTCGATTTTATAATTAAAAAAGTCCGTGGCAATTTATTTGGTCACATTAAATGAATCAAAATATGACAATTTATATTAATAATATGGGTTATGTGGGCCTCTCCACAACTTTTCTTAGGTGAATATCATACAGTCAATCTTAAGTCGTAGAAAAATGAGGAAGATGTTTAAAATGTTATAAATCAGATTTTAAATTTTAATTTTGACATTATTACAATAATTACTTCCTTGAAAATTTAAAATCAACTACATTATGTGATATTTTTCCGTGATATTAAATTTTGGACTAAACAGGTTTAATATATACGTACAGGACACCCCATCCCATACATTATCATTCCCTGCCAAGTCAAACTATCAGTTTATCACTAGTACAAATGCCACTGTTTATAAACTGTTACAATTTTTTAAATGTCATTAATTTACCCTAAAAGTCCTAACTAAACTAATTTTAAATACTAGTTTAAAATTGTACTGATAAAGTAAGTTAGGTAATGCGTTACTACGTGTTCAATTAATACTCAGACAAAAATTTTATCAAAACTTAATGTTATCAGTTCCAAAATAATCTAGATATAACTTGCAATATTTTGGTACCCATTAAAATTGGTTTTATAAACCAACCAATTATTGACAGTTTGTATACCAAGTTAAACATATTAAATAAAACCAATATTTCATATCACTGTACTACATCTATCAACTATGTATTAAATGTGTTTAAAATCAATTAAATGCAACTGAGACTTTTGACTTGGTAAAGTTAGATTTTTAAAGTTGTTTGGTAACTTGGCTGAACAACGGCTGACTGTCAATGAAATAGCCAATGAGGTTGGTTTGTAATTGGTTCTTGCCATTCAATAGATGCATTGGGTATGCAAATGGCGGCACAAATTGAGTACCAATTTTGCAAACAATGGAGTTAATTGAACATCACTTTGAAATGTGTTAGGAAATTAATTTTGAGTTTCTAATTATCCAAATATAATAAAATTAATTATTATGAGTGATAAAACATGGGATTTGAAATGTACATGGTTATGATTCTGAAATCAAAGTCAAACTCTTAAATTCAAGGACGTTGAAGAGACCATTTGTTATATAACAGAAGAAGTAAAAACTAAAAGATATGGCAAAAATGTTTTCAAAAGTGTCACGATTGCTGGAGCACTGTATAGAAACTGAAGAACACTATTTGGAAGGGAATTATTTTAAATAGAATTTACAATACATTTTGTCTGGGTATTTATTGAACACACTTATACTCGTGCTGCTGAGAGAGCGCTATCAGGCGGCGACCAAAACTTGTCCGATCTCATGCATTCCCTTTCTTAAACCTGTCAGCTAGGTGGTAGAGTGGGAAAAATTTGAGTATACTAAAACACAGAGCTCAGTCATTTAGATGCCCGAACGAGTAGCGCTCTTTCAGTGGCACGAGTATAGTACACATTTTTTAACTTTAATTAATAAATATTTAAATAATTAAAATACTTGCCTTATATATGCCCACAATATAAGAATGAGAAGAGCAAGACCCATAATTAAGTTAATACCACTGGCTACAGAGTATATTCCAAAGAAGTTAAATAATCCAGATATGAAATAACAAGCAACTGCAACTGCAAAGAATACTGCTGGTGTACGCGCTGACTTAAATACGTTTTTACTTTCATTTTGTGATTTAAATTTTATGAAGTCTTCTTCGATATCCTAAAAAATATTTGAGGATTAAAACAGCTTGGTTATATAAAGAAATACATAATTTTAGAATGTTTATATTGTCTTACACTTTCTAATTTAAATTTGTAAGATTCTGAAAATTCATCACCACCCATTTTTCGTTTAGCAATAAATTGTTCCATTGCCATGTCTTTGCTTTTAGCGTGTTCCTCATCTAGTGTGTTGTTGTTCAAATATGGTCTGTTACCACCACAAATAGTATCCATTGTCTGGCGGTACACTTCTCGAGCAGATGCGACAGCAGATAAATTATTGGCTTCAGCTGTTGTCTAACATTTAATTATTACAACTATAGTTTTTTGCTTACTTTTGATAGACATTTTATTAAACTTACAACAAGCATAGATTTTGGTTCTGGTAATTCAGCCCCAGTAAACAATTTAATGTATGCTTTAAAATACTGGACTAACTCTTTTGCTTTTATTTTTTGTCCACCAATTTCTTTTAAAATTAACCTGTCTGGTCTTAACAACATTGGTATCATAGTAATAAGGTTTTGTTTGAACTCTGGTTCAATTTCTAAACAATGAAAATAAAATATAGATAGTATATAACATTATTTTAGTTAAAATTTTTATTACCAGATAGTTTGCCATCAAAGTTGGGATTAGTAGCAACATTCAGACCAGGATGAGGCATTAAATAACAACTGATATCAGAAAAACACGATTTAATGTGTTTTCTCAAAGACTGAAGTTCTGGGTGTTGTTTGTCAGATATTTGCAGTCTTTTGTTTAATATTTTTTGCCCACCTTCTGCTCCATATTCAGCTTCATATGGAAAACTCCAATCTCTAACTAAGAACTGTAACTTCTGGAATGGTTTTGTACCAGAATCTTCTAGTGCTAAACGACCATATTCGGTAAACAGCTAAAAAAAATTGTTGTCAATTAGGTGAATTGAGATAACATCAGAAAAAAACAATTACCTGTAGATGTTGTAAATCATCTTCTTGTATATTAAATTTTAGGTTATATATTTGAATTGAGCTAAGCAAAGTACTTAATGCAAAGACTGTGGCACAATCTTTGACCGTACTTTCACTATCAAATGTACCTTGTGTATCTAGTAGTACAATGGCTACTTTTTCACCATCTTCTAAAGTGGCTTTAAATACTTCAGACCACATAAGAATACCTGTAGTATCTCTATCAGATCCACCACGCCAGGTAAAGCCATCCAATGGCTTATCATCTGAACCAATCCAATGTGCATCTTCATTTATTAGGTTTAAATGATACTATAATATTATTAAATATTAATGCTTAATGATATTATAATGCTTAAAATTAGTAATTATTTACTGTGGCTTTCATGTATCTGAGAAAAAAATCCATTAAAAATGATTTCCCTTTTCGGTAAGATCCAGCAACAGAAACCACAACAACATTTCGATCTTTAATATCATCTTTCAAAAGAATACTTTCAAGAGCTTCTTCATCAAGTATGAACTGATGATCTTCTTCAGCCAAAACTATTGGTACTGGTTTACCAACATTTATAGCATCTTGAACTTCAGCCATAATGTCTGCAAAAATGAAATAATGATTTTAAATTACCGTTCCATTGTATTTAATTAAATAGTAAGCATAGGTACCTCAAGGGTGCCCGCAGAAATATAACCTGAGGGGAGGGGCAAAGTAAAAAATCTCTGATAGCACAGCACATACAATTTTTTGGTTTTCACAATTTTAAATCAACTAAAATAGGGGGGACATGGACCCCGGGACACCCCCAGTAGATGCACTAAATACTAAAAAATATTTTTTAACTGATTTATAAAGTTACAAAATATAATATTTTTAACACGATTATGATGGATATTTTCCTACTAGTGTTATTTTTTATTTATATAATATGATAAGATATTAAGATTTACTGTATATTTTTCTTCTAGAACTCATTTTTGTTTAAATAAATAATAATAAGATATTAATATTTACTGTATGTAGTCTAATTTTTTGAGTAGATATAATAAAACAATATTAATTTGTATTCTTTTTTTTATAAAAAATAATCTTTAGTACTTAAGACTTTTCTAAAAGTACTAAGAAAATAAAATAAAAATAATTCATTGGTTGTTCATCTCCAATAAAATAAAAAGGTAAAGCTGTAGGTATATTACAGTATGGTTAAGTATATTAATTAAGTCAATAAAATTAAGAATTTATTATTGGCATAATATACCTATATTTAAATACAATACAAATATCATTAATGTAATAGGTGACATAATATTATTTTTTGTATTTTTTGTCAAATTCCTAAATAGTAACTAATACAAATTACATTTTTACTAGATAATTTTATTAAAGTCTTGACAACAAAACAATATATTTTATTATTTTATGAAAGAAGAACACTAATAAAAGACAAAAATATTCACGCAGTAACAACTAAATTGTTGTTATTTTTTTATATTAAGTGATACTTGGAGCCACCCCCAATTCAACTTTGAATTTAAAAGCAGGAACTTACCAACAATAGAAAATGTAACTACTGTTTAGGTTAGGTATTATGCACATTAATTACCATGAAATTACTTTTGAAAAAATGTGTAATGCTACTTAACCTGTTAGATTGTAGTATGTAATATGATTTAATGTAGGTAACCTTCTAACAATACAACGAGGTCAACAAAGAGGCATGACAAGCTGATTTTCAGATTTTCTCCTACTCATTAATACCAGAAAAAAAATGTATTTCTATGACTTACTCAATAAAAATTTAAAATGTTAACTAAATTAAACTGTCAATTAATATACTTATATTATTATTTAAAAACTTCAGAACTAATAGAAATAATAATTTTAAACTTCTTTAAACAATTATGCACAAATTAATGCTTTTAAGCTACAATGATTAAATGAAGGTAAAATAAAACATTTTGTTTGGAAGGAGCTTTAATGTGTAAGGAAGGCCAGATGACCTGGAAATGATTATTTGCCCAAATCCCAATTGGCCACCAGTCTGGTGGTATTTTAAGACTTTAGAAATACATGCCAAAGTTTAAATATATGTAGAAATATATATGAACAGTCACAAAAAAATGTTTGCACCTTATTCAAAAATAATAGTAAATATAATACTTAAATGAATCGTATAATACTTGATCTAATAGTCAAAAAGTTCCTAAGCACATACTTTAATAAAAATACAATTTAAGAATTTATTCCATATTAATATTATGATCAATGAATACATTTCAATATGGCTTTCAATTAAATTTTTCCCAATATATATATTTTTAGAAACTAACCAATATTCAATAGTGGTAAATAGGTAGAAGTAAATTGGGTGGCTTCTTTATTCACTTTTTGTTTTTGTATACTCATGTTTTTTGTACCTTTATCATATATACTTATTGTGTCATATTTGATATAGATCGTATATNAAAAAAAAAAAAAAAAACTCACCTTAACTATATAAAAACCATTAAATAATCAACTATTATAAATTCTAATTGCACTAATTTGTAATTGTTGAACTGCAATAATTTATACTGAAAGTTCTAATAAAAAAAAAATCAACTATTAATTAAATTTGGCTAATAATATGTAGATGAATATACATAGATGTATATAATGAGTATAAAGGGATTAGAACTTAATCCTCTTAATAAATATGCACGGGTCCATGCAATTTTTAGAGCATTTAAATCCACACCCTTATCTTTAGAGTATAATATAATATATGCTCGAAAAGTTTATAAATTATCTATGCTTTTATTAGGTACTAAAAAAATGAAATCACCAAATGTTTATTACCAATTAACTAATATGTAAACCACAAAAACATGCAAATACAACAACTTCAAAACATTTAAGATGAGTAAGGATGAGTAAAGAAAGTTCAGTTATATTTTTGATTGAAATATAGAATACCTACTTATAAATATATAAATTACATTGTGAGTGATTTGAGGATTCCGGATTGTTCTTCAAGGGGTAGTTTTTAAAAAATATTTATCCTCATCACCCACCCATCGTTATACCACTGTCATCTTCCGTGGTATAAAATTTGTTTTCTTAGTATGATGTACAAAAATAACACTACTATCTAGATAATATCTATTGAGTTTTATTTTTTTTTCAAAAACTGTTAAATATTATGATTAACAAAGTACCTACTCAGGATTTAAATAGTATATTTATCTAATAGGTAATTAAAATGCATTAGTACTGATTCTAAATTAAATTCAAAATAATTAGATATTAATTTAATATTAAAAATTTAAATTTTAAGTATATAATAAATTGTAACCTAAACTGATAAACATTGAATTTATAAAAGGATTAAAATGACTAGTTATTGCATTTTCTGACGAGTTAACTAAAAGAAATTAACAGATAGATTAACCCATATATTTTAATGATTGTAAAAAAGTTATCAAAAATGTCTAATAGGTAGAGGTGCCTATTAATTTTCAAACAATGTTTGGTATAATATTGTTAATCCACAAAATAACATTATTAGTTGAATAAAAATATTGTTATTGTGAAATTGTAATTGTTTATGACACTCTATAGGTAGATAATACCTTCATAAAAACAAAACAATTAAATGCATAAATGTATGTTCTAACAGGTGATACAAGACCTCGCATAATGGGTACAAGAATGTTATTTGAATACGGACAAAAGACCTATATAGAACAGCGGCAGTGTTTTAAAGCAATGCTATGAATCTGTCAGTTATCATTGGACTGTAATTTTATTCAGTGATAACGTTTTTTAGCACAAAAGAGCAACTACTAATCACTACCTTTCATAGAGATCCGCTAGAGACGAGGAACTCAATAAATTGTGCACAATCACCTAAAAATTGCGGGGACACACACACTCACATAAAGGCACACATACACAGATATTAGTAACGTCAAGAGTACAAACTTCATGTCATTTAAGGGCATTATACGGGGAATAGTGGGGGGAGGGGGCCACTGAAATGGAATCCTAGCAAGCTGCCCACGGTAACAACCAATTCCATTATCGTTCACATATCTGCACACGAATATTTCGTGACCCCGCTACCGATATAGGACTCGTTTTTACTTTTCGATTTTCGTGTGCAATGAATTTTGGACGTGCTTACCGGTCGTAGATGGGCAGTGTTCAGGTCTCTCCGGACACTCTGTCGGCTCTGGACGGAGTTTGACACGCGCGCTGCAGAACCGATCGTCAAAAATAACGAAAACCCAACCGGGATACAGTGAGGGCAGGGAAACGGAAATCAGCAATCAGCAATAATTAATCAAATCACACACATCGACACGACACGATCGCATGCACACGAAAACGGCAAGAGTCGCCGTAAAATAATCGAACGGTATTATCTCGAGCGAACACCCACTTGTTTCGGTATAGTTGGCCCACGGTCGGAGCAGGGAAAAAAAACAAACGTCTAAAGTCTAATGTCTATCATTAAAAAAAACTTGTTTATCGCGTATTTGTGTTGACGGCTGCGCGGCAAATGGCAATGATGCGCTTGCGCACGCCGCACACGACGGCCGCGCGGCGAAACCGCTGTCGACAACCGTTGACGTCACCTCAGCCGCGGGCAGCGCGATCTGCCCGACGGATGCACGGAGACCACAGCATAATAATAATGATAATAATAACAAATAACAATAATAATAATATTATGTAGGTAATTTATGTAATAATTTTTGTTCGATAATAAATTATTCCACTAGTAATCTCAAGAGTTACGAAACGTTATTGGTTATATTTATGTGCACCGTGTGTCCGTATAACTGTACGCATTGTGTTTACGTAATAATTCAATTCTAACGTTATTAATGTTATTGGGGATCGATAATATTTTAAATGAAATGTTATGTTTTAAATATTTATAAATATTTATATACCTCGTCAACAGAACTTTTATACATGAAAATAAAATACTAATAAGTCCAACGATCGGCGTGAGCATCATCGAGTTCAACGCAAGATTGATTTCAGATGATCTGATGTGTGCGGATCAAAATTATTACAAGATATTGTTGCTAGTTGCTACTTTTGGGTTGATGGCTACAATAATATAGGCATTATATTAATATTATAATGGTATTTTTACTACAACTAATTAGTATTTCGACAGTGGTCGTTCTTGTGACTTGTTGTTTGCAGCACGTACGCCACACACCGTCAGATGTCGCTTGCGTAATGGGGGTCGGATACAAAAAACAGCGAATTCAGGTCTTGGCGAGATAGACAAGTGGAAATAATAAGTGGAATTATTGAGGAAGTCTCCTTTTCCTGCAAAACGGTAAGATCACAGTATACAATTGTAAAGTTATATTAGGTACTTCTGTCAATAGTATCGAAAAAAAAAATATTTTTACGATCAGTTGTCGTTTTTGTTTTAGTTATGATGCAATATGATTATTCATTTATTCACTAAAATTGATGCTATAAAGTTTGATAATTGTTCTTTTTTTTCTAATTTATAAGGCGACTAGTTTTAAGGCCCACAAAATTAATATTGTACCCACATTAGGGTGGTTAATATTTAGGTACCACTGTATAAAATATCTTTTATAGATAAATACGTAAACGTATACACTTATCAAAATATTGAATCTTGTTGCATAACGCGTGGGAGTGTAGTTATAATAATATGAGTGGGTATTTACTATTTAAAATGGGTAGGTAGATTCGCTATTATTAGTAATGATTGTTGGGTGCGCGTAAGTCTCGAGACAGGAAGTCATTTCGGTCTCAATCCGTCAATGACGAACCAAACACCACTCCTCCTTGTTGCCAAGAATGAATTCACCTTGTGAATGTTATGACGAACGATAATTTAAGTTTTTTTTACCGATCATCATATATTGTGTGTGCCGTGTGCGTATTATTTATGAGAAAAAGGCAAATTGCAGGCGAACATGACGTTATGTTCACATGTATCCATTTTTAATTTTATAATAATGATTATATTAATATTATAGTTACCTATGGCAAATTGCAGCAGTCTACAGTGTTATGTTCAAGAAGAAAATGATTTATACATAATAATACTTATTCTGACAACGCGATCATTTGCAATATTACCTTTACGGCTTAATACGTGGTTGTGTTTCTGTTTGTTGTTTTCTCGAATAACCACTCAGCTGTGCCTGCGATCGCATTCGATTACAGTAATATTTATTCCTTATTTATTATTTTTAAGTATATAATATGTCAGCAGTCAGCACGTAGATACGTAAGTAGGTATGATCCGCTTTGCGATGACGTTCGCACGTGATCTAAACTTAGCTCCAATACAAAATAAATGTGTTTTTCTTCTAACATTATGGAATAATTTCTTTTTTTGGTGGGGGGGGGGGCTTAGCCACATTTATTATTTATACATAGGTTAAGCTAGGTAAAATAAATGTAGTTTCAACTATAATATAATTATAGTATAGAAAAACAACTACAGAGAACAACATAATCTGCGTTTTGTCTTCAAAAGTTTTTGTTTTAAAATCCGTTTTACTTTAAGGAAAGTTACTTATTGATAATTACTATAAATAACTTAATTACTAATAATTTTTTCAAGAATACTTAAGGATTTTATCTATGCAAATGATGACTCCATATCACATTATACATTGTTCAAGTATTAAAAATGAATTCGTAATTTCAAGTAGGTACATTCATTTTCACAAACAAATTTGAAACACCAACATAGGTAGGTACCTCAATATACATATAATACCTATGAATTATGATTGTCTTTGAAATACAATTTTACAAAAAGTAAATAATTATAACAATCAATACGTAAATGTATAGGTAGATACAAATATACCTATAAGGTGATAAATAATAAGTGATAACCAATAGGATTTTTTTTTATTAATATATTAACAATATTGGTATGTAGGTGTGAAATAAAATGTATTATTTGGATTAAATTGTGCTCAATTATTCTAGATACAATGCATACATTGTCTATTATAGATACAATGCTTATGATATTACGAAAATATTTATGTCAATTTGTATTTTGTTTTTGCAAATAAAATGCGGAATATTACACTAGAATATTTTATTTTCAATGAACATCGAAAATTAAATCATATGTTTTAATTCAACTAATTGCATTTAAGTAATATATCTTTAACAGCAGAACAGCTTATAAAGTTAATTAAATAAAAGTGAGTAATCAAATTAAAAGTTAAGATACTAACGATTTATTGTTAAAAACGTTGATTCATTTTAATATAAACATTTTTTACTATACATGTAATAAAATACTTAACAAATTTTACTTTATTTTAGTTTCTGAATATTAGCTTTATGAATTCATTCATTTTTTGACAAGAATCAGTAAGTATCTTTTTATGCCTCTAAAATATTAAATTGTAGATGTACCTATACTCTTTAGTTTAATTTATAGGTAGCATCAATTTATTATTATAGATGAAATTTGTTGGTATTTTTATTTCACATGGTATATATTTTAAAAATTACTCACATTTGTTATAACTATTATTATATCACACATTATTTGATTGTTTGATCACCTATAAATTATAACATAAATATAGGTATAATAATATCATAATATTTTAAATATCTAACTGTTTGATTTTGAATTAATAAAAATAAATGCTCCTCATAATCGAAGTATATTTTTATTGCTATTTTGCAAAATACCGTATGATATACAGAACCAATGTGAGTAATCCTTATAAGAAATTTGTATACTATGTGTGTAGCTGGTTTTCATTAAAGTTTTGTAAATCCCAATGAAAAGCGAACTAGTAGTTTCATGCAAAATACCATACAACACTTTTGACGTAATTCGGGGCTACGATCAAAAAACCATTACTCTGATGTCTATGTTGAAATAAATGTGTGATTATTATTTATCTTATTATGAAATAAAATAATAATTATTCTTCAACCATTCTGGAACTAATATCTATATGATACTATTTTACAACTTAAAGACGTTTAAACTATACAAATAATAAATTAAATAACTTATTTTAAACAGTGTTCTATCATAATAGTCGATTGTTATATTTATAATTTCTTCAACAGTTAAAAACAACACTTACCCTTGGGAAACATAAATTTAGTGCCATAAAAATGGACATGTTTATTTTGGAAACTTTTAAAATGTGCTTTTTTTTAATCACGGCAATTTGCACGGCCCCAGAGGATAAAAGGGCGTGTTTCAGTGTAAAGGGTAAAAATTAAAAATTCTAAAACAATTCCTAGCATTCCATGTGAACTATTTGTTTCCCTAACTACATTTCAGTTTCTATATACACATATATATAATACTCTCGCACATGTATGAGGCTTAATTCGATTTGGCCGATTGCAGACTCGAGTTTGTTGGAAAGTTAATTGAATAACGTTCGTAAATGTAATATATGACACTAGTCTCTCAACCCTTTTCTGGGCTAAGCTATAGTAGAATAATAATTAGTTTCACACTTGGAAAATGAGTTATGTTTTTATTGTTTTGAAATAAATGTTGAAAATATAGGTATGTAGAATGGGATTTGAACCTTAGAATCAATATTTATACAAATATATATGTTTATATTATATATTTAATAAATAATGATTAATGGTATATTCAATACATTGCATAATATTATTATTTATTACTCATATATAATCAGTAATTGAGAAATAAAAGGAAAAAATTGCATGCATATATAATGTAATAATATTAAGAGATTAACAATTATTGTATCGTTATGATATAAATTGTCTATAATAATGAATAAAACGAATAGGTACATCAAGAAAATTGCTAATTTATATCAATATTATTATATAATAATTTACTTATAAGTTATATTTTCTTTTTAACTATTTAAATTTATTATATACCATAAATGGATATTATTAATGGTTTATTAATGAATACTTAGCATATAATTTTATGATTATACATTAACATTATGACTTCAAAATTAGTTTTGATATTTAATATATTTAATTTAAAACCGACCGAATACGTTAAAAATAAATAATGTTTTCTACAAAATTAAAAATGAATGTTACAATATATGAGCAATATATTATGATTATATGAGTGATATTTGTATATAAAATAATTTAATTACTTGTTGGAAAATTTAAACACATATTATGTTATTTTGATTGTACCTTTACTTAATAAAGTCATTTAGGTGTGTCATATTCAATGTGTTTTTTTACCCTTTTATAAGTAAATATAATAAAGCAACTAGTAACTAACTTAAAAATGATAGTCACGTATTCTTTTTACTATATAAAGTGAAAGTAGTATAATACCTACCTACTCGATTACTCGTTGAACTTTTGTGTTAATGCATAGAAAGATGATACGTATGTGATTCAATTATTTAATACCTACCAAATTAAACTCAAAGCGCCAAGAACTAGAAACATCTTGTAAAATAATAACACATTTTATAAAAATCTTCTATTATTCGATTAGACTAGACATTTTTTAATAACAACATGTTTCATTCTTGATA